AACAAGTCCACAACCACCCAAGAACAAGTCCACAACCACCCAAGAACAAGTCCACAATCACCCAAGAACAAGTCCACTTGAATGAACAAGTCCACACGCGTCCCACCGAAGATAACACCGGTGTGGATTGTGAAATGACATTACCGTTGCAGTTTTTTTTTTTTTTTTTGGTTGTTGTTGTTGTTGTTGTTGTTGTTTTTGGTGTTATTGCAATTTTTGTGACGTCACTATCGGATGTTGATGATACCGCGAACTTATTGTTGCAAAAGTGATCACTGTCGAAGTTCTTATGACATTATTTCGTGTATTTTTGGAAACTGAAAAAATGCACTTACTAATGATTGACAAAATGAACAGTTTTTGTTGCAATGCCTTGAACAAAACGTAACACAGAAAATACATAAGTGATCAGAATATAGAAAATATGTGAACAACCGATATGATAAAATAAAAGATGAAACAAATACTAAAAAAAAGATAAAAGTGATAAAAGTGACAAAAACGATGAATACTGGAATAAAGAAAATATATGATTAAACGATAGAAGATAAAATAAACAGTTAAACAAATAATGAAAATATAAAACAGAAAATATATAAATAACCTGCATATGACGAAATAAGATAATGAAACAAGAAGAAAATAGAAACAAACCCAACACAACTAAAACTAAAAAGATACAGACTTAAATTAAAAAGATACAAAAAGATACGAACTAAAACTGAAAAGATACACTTAAAAATATTTAAAAAAAACTCGATGATTACTAACTAGTGCACGAAAAGTAAATATCTTTTAAAAAAAAAGAGGAATTCCTTTAAGTCCGTGAAACTTGAGCGACTAAAAAGATACACCTAAAAAGATACAAACTAAACTAACCAAACAACTAAAAAGATACACCTAAAAAGATACAAACTAAACTAACCAAACAACTAAAAAGATACACCTAAAAAGATACAAACTAAACTAACCAAACAACTAAAAAGATAAAAATAACTAGTGCAAGTTATTAATTAATGCCAACAATAATGTTCATGTTCACGTTAACTCTGTGTCAATGCTCATGTTGGTACCGATGACCTTGAGGAAAAAAAAGGCTCTCACGAATCTGTATTTCTTTTCTTCTTCTTCTCCTTCTTCTTCTTCTTTTCTTCTCTTTTTTTTTTTTTTTTTTTTTTTTTTTTTTTTTTTTTTTTTTTTTTTTTTTTTTTTTTAAGAGTGCGTGGCGTTGCATTAGTTGACACAAACCGAAACCCTCCTTCCTGGTTGGCGCCGCAGCTAATTGGCCTGCCGCTCGCTCGTAAAATAGAGGAGCGAGAAAACGAGAAGATAAAGAGGGAGAAATAAGCAACAGAATAACGGAAATAATAAGGATAAAGAGGAAGAAATAAACCACAAAATAACATAAGGATAAAGAGGAAGAAATAAACCACAAAATAAGGGATTCCTGGAACGCCGTGGAACTTCAAGACATCCAGAGACACACGACTCACTCCCAGTCACTGAGACACGACTCACTCCCAGTCACTGAGACACGACTCACTCCAGTCACTGAGACACGACTCACTTCACTCGACTCACTCCCAGTCACTCGACTGACTACTCACTCACTGAGACACGACTCACTCCCAGTCACTGAGACACGACTCACTCCCAGTCACTGAGACACGACTCACTCCCAGTCACTGAGACACGACTCACTCCCAGTCACTGAGAACTCACTCCCAGTTCACTCCCAGTCACTGAGACGACTCACTCCCACGTCACTGAGACACGACTCACTCCCAGTCACTCGACTCACTCCCAGTCACTGACACGACTCACTCCCAGTCCACTGGACACGACTCACTCCCAGTCACTGAGGCACTGAGACACGACTCACTCCCAGTCACTGAGACACGACTCACTCCCAGTCACTGAGACACGACACTCCAGTCACTCTCACAGTCACTACTCAAGTCACTGAGACACGACTCACTCCCAGTCACTGAGACACGACTCACCAGTCACTGAGAACGACTCACTGAGACACGACTCACTCCCAGTCACTGAGACACGACTCACTCCCAGTCACTGAGACAGGACTCACTCCCAGGACAAATATGAGGAAGAGGCCCTTGTGTCTGGCAATGGGCGTGGTCCTGGCCGCTGCCTTCTTTCTCGACGCCTCCACCCAGGGTCCTGCCTCCGTCGCCCTCGCCGTCGTCGACTTCCACAGGTAGGGGGAAAACAGAGAGAGAGAGGAGGGAGGGAGGGGAGAGAGAGGAGAGAGGGGGAAGGAGGGAAGGAGGGGAGAGAGAGGAGGGAGAGAGAGAGAGAAAGGGGGGGAGGAGGAGAGAGAGAGAAGAGAGGGAGAGAGAGAGAGAGGGAGGAGGGAGACGATGAGGGATGGGAGGGAGGGGAGAGAGAGAGAGAGAAAAGAAAGAGAGAGTTGGAGAAAGGAGGAGAGTGATGAGGAGGGAGGAGGGAGGGGGAGCAGGTGAGGCGCAAGGAGGGGGGAAGAGGGAGAAGGGGAGAAGAGAGAGAGAGAGACAGAGAGAAGAGAAGAGAGAGACTGAGACGAGAAAGGGTGGGTGGTGGAGGGAGAGGGATGGTGGGAGGGAAGCTAGAAAAGGAGAAGTAGGGAGGGAGAGAGGGAGAAGGAGAGGGAGAGGAGGGAAGGGGAATGTGAGAGCAAATGACGGGACGAGGCTCATTCGTGTGTGTAGGGGTGAGAGGGCAATAATCTTGAGACTATAAATATACATATATATACATACATATGTAGTTATATATGAATATGTATGTATGTATATATATATATATATATGTGTGTGTGTGTATATATATATATATATATATATATATATATATATATATATATATATATATATATATATATATATATATATGTGTGTGTGTGTGTGTGTGTGTGTGTGTGTGTGTGGTGTGTGTGTGTGTGTGTGTGTGTGTGTGTGTGTGTGTGTGTGTATTCGTGTATATGTGATATTGTATGTCTATATATAGGCCTTTATATATGTTTTTTTTTCTTCTTCTTCTTCTCTTCTTTTCATATATATTATATATATATATATGTGTGTGTGTGTGTGTGTGTGTGTGTGTGGTGTGTTGTGTGTTGTGTGTGTGTGTGTGTGCGTGTGTGTATGCCTGTGTGTGCGTATATGTGTCTTTAAGTACGTGTGTGTGTGCGTGAACTTATGCACATATGCTTGCACATACACAGCGTACACGTGTACAGGTTCGCGTTTATAAACATGAGCAGATTTTTCTAGGAATATATTTTTGCTCCGTCAGTGAGTGCAAATATTTGTTTCGTGCATGCAACTTGCATCAAAAATATTGAAAAACGTAAATATAAACAAAAAATGTTACGAACTCTTTCCAAATTTCAGTCTGACTACAAAGTGTTTTTGTTATAAATAAACATTAACACTTAAGCGAGAAGGCTTGCCATAAATAATAACGAATGAAATGATCATAACAGAAACTTCATCTTAAAAAAGAGAAAAAAAGGAAATATTGAAAGTCTTTAAGTTCGTTTCCCGTTTTCTGTTTTTTGCCCGAAAGCGAAAATGTTTTTAGGACAAACTAAAACAAAGATGGAGAGAATTAAGAAGCGGGAGCTGGGTCAGAATTCTTACGTCTGGAAACTTTCTCTGAGTCGATTTTGAGGAAATACATATAATGTATTGTTGTTTTATTTATTTTATTTTCCAATAACTTTTTCGTTAATGAGCTTTTTCCCTCTCTATTTTTGTTTATTATTTAATTTTCATTTATTTTATTATTTATCTTTTTTTTGGGGGGGGGTTGTCAGTGGGATTCTGAAAAAAATTACTGGCGGATTATAATGGAAAATTTATGGGTGGTTTGTCCATGGCCAAGAAACCACAATTCGCTTTCCAGTGTGATCCAATTCTTAGTGTGGATATAATCGGGATTCATTTCAGAGGACGGACCTGCTGGGAAAATTATTTACTATCAAAACTTTTCAAAATATCTTCTTTTAGGAATTGTGACAGGTCTGTGTACTTTGACAATAAATTTGAGAAAGTTTGTTTTCTCTTTGTAATTTCTAGCTATTTCTCTTACTGCAGGAATCTTTTTATTGCAGAATATTAACTTCAAATGTTCTTAATGTACTGATGTAATCAACTTTCACACGAGCAATTAACACGATATTAGATGATTGTGAATCAAAAATTGTAGCATGGTCATGATATATTAATACAGTAATCCCTGTAGTTTATATTCATTATCATAAATAACAAAAATCACATCTAGAATTTTAGTTATATAATATTCTAAAGGTGCGAATATACATATAACTTGCCTGAGCGAAAAAAAAAAAGTATATGATAGCATGAGGTTGTACTTAAATTAAAACATCTGTCTGACACACTTCACCTGTGTGACATGTGCCCGTGATATATTTAGAATCAAGAGCATGTGTGAAGATAAAAACTGTACATTTTAGAGAGAGAGAGAGAGAGAGAGACTGAGACAGAGTGAGAGAGAGAGCGAGAGAGAGAGAAAGAAAGAAAGAGAGAGAGAGAGAGAGAGAGAGAGAGAGAGAGAGAGAGAGAGAGACAGAGAGAGAGAGAGAGAGAGAAAGAAAGAAAGAAAGAAAGAAAGAAAGAGAGAGAGAGAGAAAAACTAAACCTAAAAATAACTTCATCTGCGTGTATGAACAACTTCACAACACTCCAAGTTATCCCGTTTCTATTCTTGTCCTGTGTTTACGTAACCTCTCTTCGCTAACTTCACAACATTTTTTTTCTCACGACAACTCCTTCTTCGCCATCTTCAGATCATGGCGACTCCTCGAATCCTCAGACGGAGACGAGGCAGAAGAAGTGACACAGGAGGAGACGATGGAAGAGGAAGAAGAAGAGAGACAGAGAGAAGAGGGAGAAGAAGAGAGACAGAGAGGAGAAGAAGAGAGAAGAAGAGAGAGAGACAAGAAGAGGAAGAAGAAGAGAACTGAGAGGAGAAAAAGGAGGAAAGAGGAGGAAGCGAGATTAAAAGAGAGAGAAGCGCTAAAGAAGGTGAAGATCTTATGTTGGGTTCTCATGTGTCCTTCGAAGCATAATGAGACGGCTGTGCACGTCAAAGCCACATGGGGGAAGCGCTGCGACAAACTCATTTTCATGAGCACTAAAGACGGTAAGTGTGGGTGGGGGGTGGGGGAGAGTGTGAGCCAGGAGGGGGGTGAGTGGGAGGGGAGCATGTTGGGAGTGAGGGGTTGTTGGGGGTGGCGGAGGGGTGTTGGGGTGGGAGTGTGGTGGTGTGAATGTGTGAGGGGGGTGTTGGGAGTGTGTGTGATGGAGGGGTATTGGGAGTTTGAGTGACGGTAGGGGAGTGGGGGTGTGAGTGAGGTAAGGGGTGTGAGTGTGGACGGGGTGTTGGGTGGGATTGGAGGGAGAAGTGCTGGGGGAGGAGAGGGTTTGGGGATGTGAGTGTGGAGAGAGGGTGTGAGTGAGCAAGGAGGGGTCTTGGGGTGAGTGTGGGAGGGAGAAGTGTTGGGTGGAGGAGAGGGGTGACGGGGGTGTGAGTGAGGGAGGGAGTACTGGGGTTGTTGGGGTGTGAGTGGGATGGGGAAGGGTTGGGGTGTCGACAGAGGAGATCTGAGCACAAACGCGGCGGCAGAGGCTTTGGGGGAGGAGCGCTGACCACCACGGACGGGTAGGGGCGAGGGGGTTCAGACCAAGCCCATGGGCGGAGGAGGTTCGGGGACACGGGTGAGGAGGGGGGGGGGTCTTCTTTATCCTTCTCTCCTCTTTTATCCCCCCCTCTTCTTCTTCTTCCATTCTTCTCCCCTGCCTTCATTCACGCTTCCTCTCCTTCCTCCTCCTCTTCGCCCTTCCTTCCTTTTTTTATTTCTTCTTTCCATTTTTTTTCTTTCTTCTTTCCATTTTTTTCTTCTCTGACATCGTCCTCTCGTTCTTTTTCCTTTCCATTTTCCTCCTCTTCCTCTTCCTTCCCCTTCCCTTTCATTCCTCCTCCTCCTCCTCCTCCTCCTCCTCCTCCTTCCTCCTCCTCCTCCTCCTCTCCTTCCTCCTCCTCCTCTCCTCTTCTTCTTCTTCTTCTTCCTCCTCCTCTTCTTCTTCCTACTCCTCTTCTTCTATCTCTTCCTCCCTTCTTCCTCCCTCCTTCAAACACGGATCTAGAAGTCGTCATCCTACACGTCTATTCCTATTCCTATTCCCTTTTCATCCTCTTCCTATCCCATTTCTCATCCTCTTCCTCTTCCTATTCCCTTTTCATCCTCTTCCTATCCCCCATTCCTCCTTCTTATTCTTATTCCCATTCCCTTTTCATCCTCTCCCTATCCCCCATCCTCCTTCTTACTCTTATTCCCCATTCGTCCTCTTCCTATCCCCATTCCTCCTTCTTATTCTTATTCCCATTCCCTCTTCATCCTCTCCCTATCCCATTTCTCATCCCTTTCCTATCCCTATTCCCCTTTCACCCTCTTCCTATCCCCATCCCCCTTCTTATTCTTATTCCCATTCCCTTTTCATCCTCTTCCTATCCCATTTCTCACCCTCTTCCTATTCTTCTTCCCTTTTCATCCTCTTCCTATCCCCCATTCCTCCTTCTTATTCATATTCCCCTTTCACCCTCTTCCTATCCCCCATCCTCCTTCTTATTCTTATTCCCTTTTCATCCTCTTCCTATCCCCATTCCTCCTTCTTATTCCTCTTCCCCTTTCATCCTCTTCCTACCCCCCATTCCTCCTTCCTATTCTTATTCCCCATTCGTCCTTCCAGACCCGGAACTGGGGGCCGTCAACCTGCACGTTCCTGAAGGTTTCTACAAGCTGTGGCTGAAGACCAGAGCCGCCCTCAAGTACGTGTACGCCCACCACCTGCAGGAGTACGACTGGTTCCTCAAGGGCGACGATGACACGTGAGACCTCCTCGACTCGGCTGTCTCAAGGGCGAGGTCCTTTATGGTGTGGGGAGACGTGGAAGAGGAGGAGGGAGGTGAATTCGGAGAGGAAAGGGAAGAGAGAGGTGGGTGGAGAAGGGAAAGGAGGTGTGGGGAGACGAGCAGAGGTGAGAGAGAGGGGTAAGAAGGGAACAGAGAGAGGTGGGTGAGAGATGGGTGAGAGGGTGGGTAAGAGAGAGAGAGGATAGGAGAGGTGGGTAAGAAGATGGTGGGTAAGAGAGAGGGTGGTAAGAGAAGAGAGATAAGGAAAGAGAGGGGGGAGGGTGAAAGAGAGGGGGGTGAATGAAAGATGAAAAGTGGAGAAGGGAATGGAGAGAGGAGAGAGAGAATGTATGAGAGAATGAGAGAGAGAGAGAGAGAGAGAGAGAGAGAGAGAGAGAGAGAGAGAGAGAGAGAGAGAGAGAGAGAGAGAGAGAGAGAGAGAGAGAGAGAGAAAGAAAGAGACAGGACAAGACAGAGAAATAGTGAAATAGAGAAACAGGTAGAGAAACAGAGACAGAGACAGAGAAAAAAAAAGGCGAAAAAGAAAGAAAGAAGGATAAAATAAGATCTAAAAGAGAGGAAGGACAAGTAACTTCCACCAATTCCCCCCCAATCTTTCTCACCAACATTCCCCCTTCCCCCTCACCATCTTTTCCCTCCAACAGATACGTGGTCGTAGATAACTTGCGGTACATGTTGTCTCCTTACGACCCCAAGCAGCCCATCGCCTTCGGGTGTCGACTCAAAGGGAACGTGCCCGGGAAAGGTTATCTAACTGGAGGCGAGTTTTTTGTGATTTTCTGCCTAGTGTTTCAGTCCTTGGAAGCCTGTTGTTTGGCTTGAAGGTTCGTCTGGGATTCGGTGTGTGTGTGGGTGTCTCTCTCTCTGTATGGCTGTGTGTTTGTGGTTTGGTTAGTCTATGTTTGTTTTTTGTGGTTTGGTTAGTCTATGTTTGTTTGTTTTGTTTGGTTTAGTCTATGTTTGTTTGTTGTGGTTTGGTTAGTCTATGTTTGTTTGTTGTGGTTTGGTTAGTCTATGTTTGTTTGTTTGTGGTTTGGTTAGTCTATGTTTGTTTGTTTGTGGTTTGGTTAGTCTCTCTGTGTTTGTTTTTTGTGGTTTTGTTAGTCTCTTTGTTTGTTTGTGGTTTGGTTAGTCTCTCTGTGTTTGTTTGTTTGTGCTTTGGTTAGTCTCTTTGTTTGTTGTCTCTCTTTGTTTGTTTGTGCTTTGGTTAGTCTCCTTCTTTGTTTGTTTGTGGTTTGGTTAGTCTGTCTCTTTGTTTCTTTGTGGCTTGGTTAGTTCCTCTTTCCGTCTGTGTGTGTATGGCTTGGTGTCTCTTCATAAGTATGTGTGCGTTTGTATTTCGGAATATCCGTGTGTCTGTATGTTCGTCTATGGGTCTGTCTCTCTGTGGCCCGATCTGTCCTTTTGTCTGTCCATGTCTGTGGCTTGGTTTCTGTCTGTCTGTCAGACAGACAGACAGACAGACAGACAGTCAGTCAGTCAGTCAGTCAGTCAGTCAGTCAGTCAGTCAGTCAGTCAGTCAGTCAGTCAGTCTCAGTCAGTCAGTCAGTCAGTCAGTCAGTCTCAGTCAGTCAGTCAGTCAGTCAGTCAGTCAGTCAGTCAGTCTGTCTGTTTGTCTGTCTGTCTTATGCTAAAATGGTAATTAAATATCGCCTCAAATAATGGTAATTAGTTATCACACCTACTAATGATATAATATCCATGGTATTATGTTATATGAGAGAGCCACAGATTCTTTCCAAATGCCAGGAAAAAAACAAGCGAAATGCAAAAAACAATAATGATGATAATAATAATGATAATAATAATAATGATAATAATAATAATAATAATAATAATAATAATAATAATAATAATAATAATGATAATGATAATAATAATAATAATAATAATAATGATAATAATGATAAATGATAATAATGATAATAATAATAATAATAATAATAATAATAAATAATAAAATAATAATAATAATAATAATAATAATAATAATAATAATAATAATAATAATAATAATAATATAATAAATAATAATAATAATAGATAACAGGTCGATAATAATAGCGATAATAAATAACTGAAGCCCTACCAACCGCACTCCCTAAATACAGTGTTTGACCCCCCCCCCTATTTCTCCACCCTCCCCCCCCTCCCTCATTTAAGAAAACCCTTGGATCTGCCACCCTCACGCCCCCCCCCCCCACACACACACACCGCATTTTACAAAATCTTCGAATCTGCTACAACCTTCATTCATTTATAACGGTTATTTATACATTTCCCTAGATGAATATCGTTATCTCTATCTGTCTAGTTTCCTTTCTTTTAATACAAATACAGTAACGTGTACATAAACATGAGATTAAAATTATCCACAATGAGAAATAAAGTTGATTCGTGACGTTTCGAACGCGTCGGGATCTCCCTCTCAGAATAACAAGTCACCGGAATGGCTCAAAATTCGTCTTCGTTTTCGCTTTCTTTTTCTTTATTTATTTATATATTTCTCTTTTCTTTTATGTCTTTCTTTCTTTCTTTTATTTTTTTTTCTTTCTTTCCTTTTTTTTTTTTTTGTCCGATGAGAAACGCTTCTTGTTGTGGATATTTCATTTCCTTTTCTTTCCCACACATTTCTTCTCCTTCTCTTTCCCCTACTTTTCTCTCTCCTTTCTTTCTTTCTCTCCACAAATTTGCTCTCCCTTTCTTTATGTCTTTCCCCTATTTTCCCTTCCCTTTCTTCCTTTCTCTCTCTCCCCACATTTGTTCTCTTTTTCTCTCCCCACATTTATCACCCGCTTTCCTCCCGCAGGCGCTGGCTACGTAATGAGCCGAGAAGCCCTGAAGCTCGTGGTCGAGCGGGGCATCGAAGCCGACAGATGCCCTTCGACGCACCGAGGCAGACGACCCGCAGAAGATGCTGCCGCAGGTTTGTTTGGCTGAACCCGGGACTTCGGTTTCGTAAGCTTGATGTGTGGCGATTTCTTCGTCTTTCGCTCTGTCTTCTGTGTTTTTTGTTGTCATTTGTTTGCTTTCTTTTTTTTCTATTTCTTCTTCTTTTTTTGTTGTTGTTGTCTACTTCCACCCCCCCCCCTCCTTCCCTCTCTTTCTCTTTCTCTTTCTCTTTTACTTTCTCTTTTTTTTTCTCTATCTCTGTCTATCATTTGTCTTCGTCTTTTTTCATGTCTCTTTTGTCTGCTTTCTTTCGTCTTTTTTCCCCCTATCGTTTGCCTTTTTCGTCTGTTTTCTGTCTTGTTTTTTCTTTCTTCTTTTCTTTTACTTCTTTTCTATTCCTTCATTCTTTATCTTACTCTTCCTTATTTCTTTATCTTCTGATCTGATACCGACAAGACATTTCTGGAACAACGAACATCTTCATTAAGAATCTCACTTCTTTCCAACATGTCAACAACCATTTCGCTTGTCATGTCACGAACATTCTCCCCGATGTCAATAGAAACCAAAATAATGGCTTTGAAATGTTCAGAAACTTGTCATATCACTTCTTATGTAATTACATTATTCCTAAAAAAAAAAATTGAAAGGAACAGCTCGACAACGTCTTAGAAATTGGCGTCTAAAGTACCGACAATTACCATGAAGCACTTCACTTCTTCCCCTCATATCAACAACCATTTCTCTCCAACCTCGCGTCACATAAACATTCTCCCCTCATGTCACAGACACCAAAACACGTCACAAACATTTTTCCCTCACGTCACAGACACCAAAACACGTCAAATCAACATTCTCCCCTCACCTCAGCATCCACCAAAACACATCACAAACAAACTCCCCTCACATCACATCCTCCCCTCACCTCAGCAGCCCCCCAAAACAACTACACAACACTCAGATAACCACCCAATCCACTCCCTCTTTTAACACACAAAAAAATTCACCATTCACACACAGCCCGTTGTATGGTGGCCTCTGGACACCAAAACACGTCACATAAACATACTCCCTTCATGTCACATGCTCTCCTCATGTCACAGACACCAAAACACGTCACATAAACATTCTCCCCTCACATCACATCCTCCCCTCACCTCAGCAGCCACCAAAAAACAACAACTACACAACACTCACAGATCCACCCAATCCACACCCTCTTTTAACACGCAAAAGATTCACCATTCACAGCCCGTTGTATGGTGGCCGCTGGAGTTCGTTTCGGAGACTCTCGGGATAGCCTGAGGCGAGCCAGGTTCTCCCAGCTGAGTGCAGCCGCGTTGCTTATGGGGAAGGACAAGAAGCAGCATCTCTATAAGCCAATTAAGGTGAGAGAGAGAGAGGGGAGAGGGGAGAGGGGGAGGGGAGGGAGAGGGGGAGGGAGGGGGAGGGAGGGGAGGGAGAGAGGGAGGGAAGGGGAGAGAGAAAGAGAGAGAGAAAGAGAGAGAAAGAGAGGGAGAGGGAGAGAGAGAGAGAGAGAGATAGAGAGAGAGAGAGAGGGAATGAGAGGGAACAGGAGACAGGAAGGGCGAAGGGGGAGAGGGGAGAGAGGACAGACAGACAGACAGACAGACAGACAGACAGACAGACAGAGACAGACAGAACAGGGAGACACGAGGGGCGAGGGGGGGGAGGCAGAATGAAAGAAAGGACAGAGTGAGAAAGATTGTTGGAAGGAAAGGAAGGAAGGGAAATGATCATAAAATAATGGTTCACAATTATCATAAACTAATGGTGTTCATAATGACCATAAAATGATATTCATATTCATAAATAATAATCATAAAATAATATCATAAATATGTGTTCATAATGATCATAAAATAATGCGTTCATAATTATGCATATATGATGATCATAATATCATAATGATGATATTCATAATGATCATGAAATGAATAATATTTAATAGCAATAACCACGACCACCCTCCCACGCTTTCTCTTGCGAAGGGCGTCGGCTGCTGCTCCCCGACTGCCGTGACCTTCCACAAGATGACCGTGTCTGACCTCTACCTCATGGACTACCTGCTGTACAAGATGGTCGTCGCCGGGCGCCACTCCTCGGCTCCCTTCCCTCCGGCGCCGCCCCCCGACAGGAGCCGCTTGTCGCCAGAGGTCCGTGGTTTGGGTTCTCTTGTCCGGGATGTGTCGGGGAGAGAGGGGGGAGAGGGAAGAGGACAGGAGAGAGGGAGGGAGAGGGAGAAAAGTAGGAGGGGAGAAGGGAGGGAAGAGGGGAAAGAGGAGGGAGAGAGGGGGAATGGGAGGGGGAGAAAGGGAGGGAAAGAGGGGAAGAGGAGGGGAGAGAGGGAGAAAGTAGGAGGGGAGAGAGGGAGAAAATAGGAGGGGAGAGAGGGAGGGGAGGAGAGAGAGAGAAATAGGAGGGGAGAGAGGAGGGAAAGAGGGGAAGAGGGAAGTAGGAGGGGAGAGGGAGAAAATAGGTGGGGGAGAGGGGGGAGGGAGGGAAAGGGAGGGAGAGAGGAGGAAAGAGGGAGAGGGGAGGGAGAGGGGGAAAGGGGGGAAAAGGAGGAGAGATAGGGGAAGAGGAGGGGGAGAAAGGGAGGGAAAGGGGAAGGGAGGGAGGAGGGAGGGAAGAGGGGAGAGACGGGAGGAGGGAGGAAAGAGGGGAGAGGAGGGGAAAGAGGGGAAAGTACGAGGCGGAGAGAAGGGAGGGAGAGGGAGAATAGGAGGGGAGAGAGGAGAATAGGAGGCGGAGAGAGGAGAAGAATAGGAGGGAGGTGAGGAGAAAATACGTGTGGGAGAAGAGGGAGAGGAGGGGAGAAAATAGCGTGGGGAGAGAGGGAGTAGAAGGGTGGAAAGAATAGGAGGGGAGGAGGGAAGGAGAGGGAAGAAATATGGAGCGCGAGAGAGGGAGAAAATAGGAGGAGAGAGTGAGAAAATAGGAAGGGTGAGAGAGGCGAGAGAAATAGGAGGGACGAGAGGGGGGAGAAATAGTGAGGGCGAGAGAGGGAGAAAATAGGAGGGGAGAGAGGAGATAAATAGGAGGGAGAAGAGGGAGAAATAGAGGGAGAGAGGGAGGGAGAGGGAGAGAAAATAGGAATGGGATAGAGGGAAGAGAGGGAGAAAAGTAGGAGGGGAGAGAGAGGAGAAAAAGGGAGAAGAAGGAGAAAATAGGTCGGGAGAGGGGAGGAAAATAGGAGGGAGAGAGGGGGGAAAGAGGGAAAATAGGTGGGGAGAGGGAGGAGAGGGAGAAAATATGAGGGAAAGAGGGAGAAAGAGGGAAAAGGAGAGGGGGAAAATAGGAGGGGAGGGGAGGGGAGGAGAAATAGGAGGGGAAAGAGGGAGAAATAGGAGGAGAGGAGAGGAAAGAGGGAAAAAGAAGGGAGAGAGGGAGGGAAAGAGGGAAAAAGGAGAGGAGAAATAGGAGGGAGAGAGAGGGAAGAGGGAAAAAAGAGGAGAAAATAGGAGGGAGAAGGCGAAAGAGGGAAAAAGAAGAGGGACAGAGGGAGAGGGATTGTGGGACGTGTTTATTGCTCGCTTTATCCTCTTCTGTGTGTTTTCTGAAATTGTGGCTCTGTTCCTCTGTCTGCATCTGTCCGTCTGTTTTGGATCTGTCACTTTCCCTCACTGGCTGTCTTTGGCTTGTCTGTTGTCAGTATTATTCACTGAAAACCTCTGTCATTAGCGTCGGATACAAAATATAGCAATAGGGCGAAGCTTAAGGACGAAGGTAACTATTGTTCATATGTTCATACAGCAATATGATAGGGTAATGTGACGAAAATGTTAGGTAGCAAATGTTCATACTGCATTATGATAAGGTAATGTAGCGAAAGTGTTACGAGTAAACGATTGGAACAAAATGTGTTAGATGTCAAAGGTTGTAGAGCGCTGTTAGTGTGGCAGTGAAAAGTGTAAACATGGAAGAACAAATGGAATATGAAGGTCGTTCAGGATTGACAAAGCCAGTCTTTCATCCTTTCGTGAAGGCTCTCACACTTTAGGATGTGGATGGAAGAAGGGGATGAGGAAGGGAAGGAAAGGAAAGGAATAAGAGAAGAAAAGACCATGTAAAATTAGTGGAGGGGAGGGCTGAGGACCATGACAGAGGTGATCCCTTACAGTGTGCATCTACATCTACCCAAGTGTCTTTTCTTTGTGCATCTATATCTACCCATGTGTCTTCTCTGTGTCCATCTATATCTACCCATTTGTCTTTTCTCTGTGTGCATCTATATCTAGCCATGTGTCTTTTCTTTGTGTGCATCTATATCTACCCATGTGCCTTCTCTGTGTGCATTTATATCTACCCATGTGTCCTCTCTCTGTGTGCATTTATATCTACCCATGTGTCTTATCTGTATGTGCATTTATATCTACCCATGTCTATATCTACCCATGTCTATATCTACCCATGTCTATATCTACCCATGTTTATATCTATCTACCCATGTCTATACCTACCCATGTCTCTCCTCTCTGTGTACATCTATATCTACCCATGTGTCTGTTTCATTACATAGTCTCTCCGTCTGTTACTTTGCTTTTATATTTGCCTGTTGGCCTGCCCTGTTTTCCGTGTCTGTATTCGTTCCCCGATTGTCTGTCCCATCTTAACATATTTTCATATTTTCAGCGACCTTGCATTGAACAGTATTCATGTAGAAAAATGTAGAAAAAAGGTATGAATGTATGAATGAATATCTTCACAAATCTTCACAGTACAGGAGTTGTATTTGACCAGTTTCGATTATATCTTCGTCAGGTGTGCATGTATTTCTGACGAAGATATAATCGAAACCGGTCAAATACATCTCTTATATTGTGAAGATATCCATTCTCATTCATACCTTCCATTCTCATTCATACCTTTTCTACGACAGTGCATTCTTCTATATGGCGTTCTGTAAAAAAGTGTAATGGTTCATGGTGAAAAGCGAAATAAAATGTGCTAATCTAAGGTCATATAGCACCATAGGAAGGCATAAATGTGTAGTTATTGGAATATCTACACTGTCTATAGATTTATTTTCCCGTTTGATCGATTTTTATAGTACACAAAAGTACAGTAAATTAGAATCTAATCAGCTGGGACAAACTAATTACTCAATAACGGTTCTCACAAGATATTGGTACGTTACACGATGAAGGTCAGCAAGGACTACAAACTTCAAAAATAAAATAAAAAGCAAACTTACTGAAACTCTGAAGGCAGGCAGGTTACTAACCCGTCCATTAACAGATTCTTTTTTACGTATATTTCTGTAAATCATCAGAAATGTTCTGGATAAACTTTAACGGGTTCTTGACATGTTTTAAGGGGGGTGTGGAAGCAGTCTCAAGAACAATTGGTACGATAACTAGTTTATTATAATAGTTCCTCATACCATATACCCCAAAAAAATAAGAAAAAAGATGAGAGAAAAAGAAAACAAAAAATAAAAAAAAGAAAAAGAAAGAGAAAAGAAAAAGAAAGAAAAAGAAAAAGAAAAGAAAGAAAGAGAAAAAGAAAGAAAGAAAAAAGAAAGAAAAAGAAAAAAGAAAGAAAAAGAAAAAAGAGAAAAAGAAAAAAGAAAAAAAGAAAAAAGAAAAAAAGAAAAAAAAGAAAAGAAAAAAAAAAATTAAAATAAATAAAAAATAAAGAAAAAAAGTAAACTGAATTGCCAAGAGCTAAAAAAAAAAATATTTCGAGAATATCTGGGTGGAGACTGACCAGAAGAGGCTGGAATGCGGCTCCAGAAAACAATACACAAACTAGTAAAAAAAATATAAAAATAAAATTAAAAGGGGAATGCTGATAACCTATATCAAGCTTTTAATTATCATATATCCCTAGGGAATTTATAATATCGATTAATATGAAGGAGTTAGAGAGATTTAAAAGCCCCCAAAGATATTTGCTAATCAAACCGTCTCCTTTTGGTGACTAAAACCAAAATTAAATTCCATACATGTCAACTTGCCCATCGTATATTTTATTCATTTTTCGGGATTGCCTATTTCAAAATTATTCACCCTTTTCTTTGTTTTTATTCCAGGATCTTAAGAGGTTTGGACGGCTTCCTCCTAAGTGACGTATGGGACGAGTCTGCTTATTTCAAGATATAGAAATAAAAGTGAACTGTTGTTAATGTTTGTTTGTTTTTTTTGTTGTTGTTGTTGTTGTTGTTGTTGTTCCCTATCTTTAGACTGCGGGAAGAAAAAAAAAAGTAAAAAGAAAAATAAGACAAATCGAGAAAAGCCAAAGTGAAAATATTAGCCAAATTCTAAACGCAATATTAACACTTTACTTGACCTGCCGTAGTTTTCACGCGTGGACTCCAAAATCTAAATCTACTTCACAGCCACGATAAACTCCAGGTTCACTTTAAAAAAAGATTAGGGAAGCATCTCAAAAGCAGTTGTTTACCCTGTTTTTTTTCCATTAATAATCTTAAGATCAACCAAGAAACTTTTTTTTACATTAATAATCTTAAGATCAACCAAGAAACTTTTTTTTCCATTAATAATCTTAATATCAACCAAGAAACCTTGCCAGGATGCTGCTCAGGTAACAGAAGTTGGGTACACATTTCCGTCAGAAGAATTTTCTCGTCCAAATATTCGATCAAAAATACTGCAATCCTTTAAATATCAAGAATATCCATATCAAGTATATCCAAGAATATCAAGAATATGACACCAAGAATATCCGCCAATTCAATATCTTAAAAACAAAATAAACTTTTAGATAAATACTCTAAATCTACTTGAGGCACAGCTACAGCTACACACAAACGTACACGAGGCAGCTACACACAAACGTACACGAGGCACAGCTACACACAAACGTACACGAGGCACAGCTACACACAAACGTACACGAGCCAGCTACACACAAACGTACACGAGCACAGCTACACACAAAACGTACACGAGGCACAGCTACACACAAACGTACACGAGGCACAGCTACACACAAACGTACACGAGGCACAGCTACACACAAACGGACACGAGGCACAGCTACACACAAACGCACACGAGGCACAGCTACACACAAACGGACACGAACAGCTACACACAAACACACGAGCACAGCTACACGAGGCACAGCGGCGAGCACAGCTACACACAAACGTACACGAGGCACAGCTACAGCTACACACAAACGTACACCGAGGCACAGCTACACACAAACGTACACCGAGGCACAGCTACACACAAACGTACACCGAGGCACAGCTACACACAAACGGACACACAGCTACACACAAACGTACACCGAGGCACAGCTACACACAAACGTACACGAGGCACAGCTACACACAAACGTACATGAGGCACAGCTACAGCTACACACAAACGTACATGAGGCACAGCTACAGCTACACACAAACGTACATACAGCTACAGCTACACACAAACGTACATGAGCACAGCTACAGCTACACACAAACGTACATGAGGCACAGCTACAGCTACACACAAACGTACATGAGGCACAGCTACAGCTACACACACGTACAGCACAGCTACAGCTACACACAAACGTACATGAGGCACAGCTACAGCTACACACAAACGTACATGAGGCACAGCTACACACAAACGTACATGAGGCACAGCTACACACAAACGTACATGAGGCACAGCTACACACAAACGTACACGAGGCACAGCTACACACAAACGTACACGAGGCACAGCTACACACAAACGTACACGAGGCACAGCTACACACAAAACTATCGTTCGGAAGGGTGTCGAAACCTTCAATAACTAACAAAAATATTATTACGAAAGGGTTGGTATTTTGGATTTCAAATTTGTCAACCTCCGATTCATGTCAAACTCATTCCAAAATTCATACGGATTCACCAATTCATTCCACTAAAGAATGAAACATGCCTTGCAACATGCAGCACAAGTCTCTCGTACCCAGTAATAGTTGCAAAATCAGGGATACTACAAGTGTTAAAAGCGTTAACTCCATTTCATAAACTATCGTTGCTCTTGTCAATGTTTAACGTGATTTTCTATTTTTCTGTCTAGTTGTAGGAAATTCGAAGCTGGCACAATTAAACACGCAAGCAAGATGGTTCTTTTATTGGATACGAGCTGGTGTCAATATTTCCGAATGTTACAGTAGTCCTCCCCCTCCCCTCCCCTCCCACCCCCCACCCCCCACCCCCCTTTGGCTACATGCCGTTGGCGATCTTGGCAATGGCCTCCATCTTGTCGAGCGCCGCCGCCAGTGCGTCGAAGGCCACGGCGACGCGAGACTCCAGACCGTAGCCGGCCTCCCTTCGACGTCGGCGGCTCGTCTTGGCTCCGAAGATCTGGTCGAAGAACATGATGACCGGCTTCCTGGTGACGTCGAACAGGGAAATGAACATCAGAGAGCCTCCCAGGATGAAGCCGGCCACGCTGAAGCCAGAGAGAGAGAGGGAGATATTAGTCACTCGGATATTTTAAATGATATACACGTGTGCTATGTATGGAGGGGGTTGGTGGAGGTCCCGGGGGAAGTGGGAGGGGGAGGGAGAGGGAAGTGGAAGGGAGGGAGGGGGGGAAGGGGAGGGGGAGGAACAGGGAGGGAGACGGGGGGAAGGGGGGGGGGGAAGGGGAGGAGTGAGGGAGAGGGGGAAGGGGGTGGTGGAGGGGAGAGAGAGGGGGAGGGGAGGGGTTGGTGGAGGTCGTGAGGAGGAGAGAGGGGGATGGAGGTCGGAGGAGTGAGAGGAGGAAGGGGGGGGGTTGGTGGAGGTCGTGAGGAGAGAGAGGGGGGAAGGGG